AAAAAAAAAAAAAAAAAAAAAACAGCATGTTGCTCCACACCGCCTCGAGTTGTTTGTTGGAGCTTTCAGGGTTCGGGACGATAACAGAGCCTTGCACCTAATATCCCAGGTAGTAATCCAAGGGCGATATCTGTGTGACACCCCTCCTCCTCCATCCTCCATATCCAAGCGATCATCAAGGATACAAGCAAGGCAAGGTAGCTCACGCCCAGTACTTTATGAGGCTGAGGCACGTGGATCACCTGAGATTAAGAGTTAGACACTGGTCCGGCCAACACTGGAAAACCGTGTCTCTACTAGAAATTCAAAAATTAGCCAGGTGTGGTGGCAGTTGCTTGTAATCCCAGCTACTCAGGAGGCTGAGGCAGGAGAATCGCTTGAACCTGGGAGGCGTAGGATGCAATGAACCAAGATCACGCCACTTCACTCCAGCCTGGGCAACAGAGTAAGACTCTGTCTCAAAAAAAAAAAAAAGAAAAGAAAAGAATTAGTATAGTTTTGTCGCCAGAAAAGGGGTCTTGTCCCAGACCCCGACAATAGGTTTCTGGATCTCACACAAGATTAAATTTACAGCGAGCTGCAAAGTCTAGTGACGTCAGGAGAGTTTGTTAGCCACTACTAAGTTACAGAGAACAGAGTCCTCAGAAAGCAAGAGGAGGAAAACACCTGTTTTAAAGAAAAAAAATTATTTTTGAGATCGAGTTTTACTCTTGTCGCAATGACATGATCTCGGCTCTCTACAACCTCTACTTTCTGGGTTTAAGGATTTTCCTGCCTCAACCTCTCCAGTAGCTGGGATTACAGGTGTGTACCACCACGTCCGGCTAATTTCTTAGTATTTCTTTTCCATTTTAATTTATTTTTATTTATTTATTTAAGTTTTTAAAATTCAGTCCCTGTAGAGACTGCCAATAATTGACAATGCTGACTACATTTCCAGTTGTCATGGCAGGGTATTGGGAAAAGTTTTCAATTAGCAATAATCGCGGCTAACATAAACCTCATTGGCTGATAATGACACCATGTAAAGCTATATTTTTATATTTTTAGTAGAGACTGGGTTTCACCATGCTGGCCATGCTGGTGTCCAACTCCTGGCCTCAAGAGATCTGCCCTCCTTGGCCTCCCAAAGTACGGGAACTACAGGTGTGAGCCACTGCGCCTGGCCTTAATGGTTGTTTATATAGGTTATTAAGAATAATGTTCTCTCCTATAAAGGCCTGTGATCAGTTTGTGTCAGGCTATTAGTATTGTTACTTTTCTGTTACTATTGATTTTAACAATTATTTATGAGTGTACTATTTAAAGTAAAACTTATTTTTAAATTAAGAATGCTTTTTGCAGGCTGGGTGCAGTGGCTCACGCCGGTAATCCCAGGACTCTGGGAGGCCAAAGTGGGTGGATCAGCTGAGGTTGGGAGTTCAAGACCAGCCCGACCAACATGGTGAAATCCCGTCTTAAAAAAAAAAAAAAAAAAAAAAAGAATGCTTTTTGCTTAACCTACTCTATTTTTATAAGTTTTGGGTCTTTATTTAGTTATTAACTTGTTCCTGCAATCATAAATATTTTATAACCGAAAGTGCTCAACCCCTAAATATATAATCCAACAAATTTAATGTCTGAGTGTGTGTGTGTTTGTGTGTGTGACAGGGTCTCACTCCGTCTCCCAGGCTTGAGTGCAGTGTTGCAATCATGGTTGGCTCACTGCGGCCTCAAACTCCTGGGCTAAAGTGATCCTCCCACCTCAGCCTCCTGGGTAACTGGGACCACAGGCAAGCACCACCATGCCAGCTAATTTTTATATTTTTGTAGACATGGGGATCTCACTATTTTCCCAGGCTGGTCTTGAACTCCTGAACTCAAGTGACCCTCCCACCTTGGCCTTCCAGAGTGCTGGGATTACACTCGTGAGCCCTGCACGCTGCCCAGATTTAACTTTTTCTATAGCCTTTATTTAAAATAAAGTCACTGTGGTTAAGATGCCTCTGACAGTTTTGCACTTTAAGTGTGAAGACTATGTTGAATGAATTTTTCCATCAGTTGTAAAATGTGCATCCATGTTTATTTCATTCCTATGGTTTCAGTTAATTGTCCCTTCCTCCTTTCTAGAAAAACCTGGGCTAGTGGGCTCCATGTCAGTTTGCATTTCCAGAATGATGGTGCTGAACACTGCGCTCCGACTTTAAGTGTTTCAGCGGGACAGCCACCAGACGGCGTATGTCCTCCACCAGCGCTGAGAGCGCGAGGGCCCCGCAATGTCTCCGGCCACCAGCAGAGAGCGCGCTGGAGCAAGGTGGCATAACAGCCAAACAACCAAGCGCCTCTAATAAACAGAAACCCCTCCTTTATATAGGCTTACAACTCGAGATATTACACGTGAAAGGGTCTTGGGTTTACAGTTTTAGAAATCACATGAGAAAGGTTCTTGGTCCATGGAGTACGCATGGGGTGGAGGTTTGAACTTGTTTACGTTAAAACAACGCCTTCCAGAAAGATTCCCCCAGACCATGCCTGCGATCTATAGGAGAGTGATTAAGGTGGCGCCCGGTCAGCCAGCCTTTACTTTTATCGAAATGCAGTATGGAAGCGAAGCGGGAGGTGACCTTAGATGCTTGGGTCTCCTTCCTCACCTGGTCACCTCCTCCCTGCACACGGCCACTGTCCCACGTGGGCTACTTTCCAGTCTCACTCACAGTCGCTCTGAACAACTGTGGAAAGAAGACAGCTGTGGAGCCTCTCCCTTGTGCTGGCCTAAAGCCAGAACCTGAGCAAAGCCATTTTATAAAATACAAAACGTTTTTAAAATAAGTTGCAATGGCTGCCCCATTCTCCTCACAATAACTGCTGGCCTTGGCTTCTGTAGATAGAATTGCTAATTTGTTCTGCAAACTATGTAAAGCTGCTTACCTTTTCTTATCAGTAACTGCCAGAATTGCTAGCCTTTCCTTACCGGTAATAACTGAAATAAGCAGCCCAAGCTAATTCCACCCTGGCTCCTGTGACTTGTAATAAGTAACTAAGATCTGTGACTTCCACCAGTATCCAGACAATGTGTAAACTAACTTATGTAAGCCACTTAGGTAACAATCGAAGTGAAAACATGTCCTCTAGCCCTTGGAATGTCCGGAGACCCCCACCTTCATCTCTGCCCAGAAGGTGATTTACAGAATCCACTAGCCCTCACAATGTCTGAAGCCTTTTCATCCCCATCCCTGCTCCTGACTCCCACTCCCAAAGTGGTTTGTCGGGTATAAAAATTCTTGGCACCCTCCTTTCGAGGCCACAGGTTGGAGAGACGTGAGTCCTCTGTGGCCGCCGGCATAATAAATGACCCTGCAATCTGGAATACTTTTGTCTTGGTGCTAAATTTCTACGCTCAGTCCAGTATAATATTTGGAGGTCCCACCAAGATATTCTCTTTTTGTTATAACCAGACAAAAGCCATCTCACAGTCTCGCCCGGGCGGTCACTCCCACCTTGGGGGCCTCTGGGGAGGCGCCGCCTCTGGGGAGGCGCCCCCTGTTCTTTCCAGGGCCCCGGAGTGCCACCATGGAGGATAAGCGACCACCCGGCCGACATTCATTCAAAATTCCTCAGGGTCCTGGAAACCTCCGGAGGTAAGTTTGGTCTGGGAACTAGTTCAAAGGAAGGGCCTGAGTCAGGGGACTGACAAGTCACTGCAGCTCTGCCCTGGCAAGCCTCACCGAGATGTCACTTGAGGCTTCTGGTAGCTGGTGCAGTGGGTATCAGCGTTCGCCTTCTGGTGGCTGTCATAGTGGGTGGCAGCCTTCTGGTAGCTGGTGTAGTGGGTACCAGCGTTCGCCTTCTGGTAGCTGACATAGTGGGTGTCAGCGTTCGGTTGTTTTCCATAACCTCTGTGTGAGTGAGAGTGTGAATGTGTATATATGTAGTCCCATGGCTGAAAGGCTACAGGGCTTGTGTGGGCCTTCACCCGCAGTTCCACTGGGGCATCGTAGGGCATAATGGTGATTCACCTCAGAGCTGTCCTTCTTGGACTTCCATCCTGAGGTGACCAGGCCCAGGGATTATACTGGTACACCTTAGCCAAGACACTCCTGAAAAATTCCTCTGGGAAAGTGGCTGGGCAGGCATCTGACTGGTCTCCCATCTGGGGGGCACCCACCCTTTGTCTGTCACTCTTGTATGTGGGCCTGTCTCGTCCGTAAATTTGTCAGTTTTATTAGGCTCCTGCTAGCAGACATACACTGGATCAGGTCATCTTCCCTTGAGGTAGGAGATATCTTACAGTGGTTGACGAACCACTGGATGCAGGGAACTTTTACTGATTACACCCCAGAAGAAATTACTCTTTTCTCTTTCTTCCTCATCTTTTTCTTCTATCACTGAGGCCTCACTCTTTCCTCTTTTGCCATGAGGCAGACAGTCTTAACTCTAGTTGTCTTTATTCCCTTCCTTGTTATGGTCATTGTAGCCTGTAAATTCTCCCAGCCACCTCCACCAGGAAAAGAGTACTTTTGCCCGTGCTGGGTCTGATTCTATGTCAGGAAGGCCATTGTGCCCTTGACACCTTGGAGGTAGTTTCTTTGGAGCTGTGGGGAACAAAACCCTAGATCAGAGTTTACAGGTGCTCTTTCTCAGGCTGGGATGGAAAATAGGTAACTGCTTATTCTGCCAGGAAAGTGTCCAATGTTGTTATGGGCAGTGCCTGACGGTGCATCACAAAGAGGCATATTGGCACCATCCTGGTTGTTGGGAGGCAGGATGTCACTGCCTAATAGAAACTGACTGGCAGCACTTCTGCACACTCTACCGGGTGTGGTGGGTCCAAAACACACACCCGGTAGACCTCTTAGTCCACCTGTTTTGTCACTTCCCGACATTTCCGGAGCAGCTGGCCATTAAAATTTATAAGGGGGAGGATTATGCCCAGGCAGTGCTGAACATAGTGCTTATTCTCGCCAGTTGTGGTTAGCAGTGAAAAAGATCGCCACCTTACTTTGGCCCCTACCCCCTGTTCCTCTGACTAGAACTAGGGATAGACCCTAAAATTCAGTTGTCTGGTTCTTGCAGGACTTGGCTGCAGAGGCTCTGCTAAAACCTGCTTTAAAGAGGGCCAAATTCGAATTTGAGGCTTTCCAAAATTGGCTATACCACAGAAAGAGAAAGATACGAGTAGCAAGCAAGGGGCCCAAGAGAAAAAGAGAAGAGGGGAGAGAGAGGAGAGGACAAGAAAGTAGGAGAAAGGAGAAAAAGAGGAGAGGAAAGAGAAAGAGAGGAGAGAAAGTAGACAGAGGAGAGAGGAAAGAGAGAGGACAGAAAGGAGGCAGAGGAGAGAGAGAGAGGAGTCAGAGAAGAATTTAATGCCTTTCAGGATCCCTGTGTAAAGGGGACCAGAAGCCGCAGGGGCAGAGAACTCGCCACCAGCCCAGTGGCTGCGAGCTCAGTTTTAAACTGACACTAAGAGTGTTTTTTTCTCCTTTCTCTGCCGGCAGTCAGCCCCGCCCAGCTTTCAGGCAAGATACACCACTTCAGGGGATGGTATTTGCATCCAAAATACTACTTAAGAAAGCTTTCTGCCTGCCCTTATACCGAATGGCCTGTTAGCATAGTAGTTAAGGTGTAGGGCTTATACCTACAAGGTTGCTGGTTCAAATCCGCAGTGGAGCCAGTCTTTAAAAAACAACAACCAAAAAACTCCTGGGAAAATTTTGAAGCTGAAGGCTACATGACTTTATGTTTAGTATAAGTTATATTCCTTAGAACTGGCTCTCTCTACGGCAGAACTTTTCTATCTGAATTGACTTAAAAACAAACAAAAACTAACATAGTTAAAACCGGTTCCAAGCCCTCGAGAAAAACCCACAAATGGGGTTGTCTAGCTCCCGGCCTTGTACCCCCCTCCAATGCATGATGACCAACTTCAAGTTTGGGTTCTCAGGCCAATATGGGGTGAAATTAACCCCTGGAAAACTCCTGGATACCCTCACCAGTTTCCATACATCGACCAATGGCTGGGTTTAGTCCGACAGCCTCCCCCATGGCTAAAGCAC